CGTCAATTGTGCTAGTCTAAACCAGCCTACCTGTATTACCAGACCTCTTCTTTTCCTCGACAATCAAACCAAGTTGCTCATATCGCATTTGGTGGGTGATGTAAGTAGTAATGCGCTTAGTCAATAAAGACACCGTGATTTTTATTAAAAGGAGACGATGAAGCAAGTATTCATGACACAAAGAAGAATGGTCGGTGGGGATTGGGACCCACTTAAATCACCTTAACACAATGCCCTCGGTAATCCATCCTGTTATTCAAATCACCTTAACACAGTGCCCTCAGTAATCCATCCTGTCATTCAAATTATTTGTTATATAGTAGTGTTGTAGGTATTGAAACTTATACATAACGAGCTGTATTCAATCAGAATACGACACAATACGTGTATATTATATGGCTCTTAATGAGAAACCCGGTATAGAGACGTTTTAAAGTTTATTACGAAAAAGTATACTTGGCCTCATTACATGGCTCATTTACAGTTCGAAGAAGGCAAGAACAGATCAAGGAAACTAAGGAACAGCCAGGTCCAGAAAGCAAGTGTAAATACACCTTCCAACATCAACTGTGACTTGTTTTGTATTGTTCTGCATACCGCTTCATTTGCTATGCTGGATACCTCAAATCAACCCCATATGTCAGGGTCGGCTAAAAATACAGGTTCTTCCCGTAGGATATTCGGGGCTATGATGATCAGCTCAGGATTAATGTGGGACAGATGGACGGGCATTGAAAAGAGCGAGTTGAAAGCTTTCTGGTCTTTTCTTGCCTTCTTTGAGCCATGAGGCCAAGTAGACGTTTTCGTGATAAACTGTAAAACCTCTCCATACTGGGCCTCTCACGGGAGAAACGAGAAGTGTACGATATAGAACGTTTCATATACCTCATTAAGGGCCATAATATAATATACACGTATTGCATTGTGTCGTTTTGTGATTGAATACAGCTCGATATGTATTACTACTTACATCACCCACCAAATGCGATATGAGCAACTTGGTTTGATTGTCGAGGAAAAGAAGAGGTCTGGTAATACAGGTAGGCTGGTTTAGACTAGCACAATTGACGGTACAGAGATGTTTTATTTATATTTTATTACAAATGTGATTATCTTAACCCCACTGATTCATCATTGAAATCAATAAAATGACAGTACAGCAGGCTATCGTTTCGATCTTGACTGTGCCATTGGTGCAGTTTCTGTGAAAATTAGTTTATGAAACTCTTATATCGCCGCGCGATCGTATGGTTAACGTTTTTCAGTTTCAGACCTCTTCACTTAGTAATACTAATTCCTGATTACTAAAATCTGCCGAGATTTACTGAACTCCAACTACAAATATTGGCGATTTAAGTATTCTTGAAACGAAAAATTCACTACGTTTTTTAGAAAGGCATTTTTATCCGTGTTTCATGCGATTTGATCACTTTTGGCGGAAAATTTTTTTTAATTTTCGAAATTTTTTCTAAGTCTCGAAAAAAAAAATGTGAGTGAAAAATTTTAAAATTTTTTTCTAAAAACTACTTTTCTCCGTGTTTTAAGCTATTCCAATCATTTTTAGCCAATAAAAATTTTTTAGAATTTTGCTAATTAGTTAATTGATAATTATCCAATTAACTTATTATCTGACGTAAAAATTGTTTGAACAAAAGTTTTTCTTCCTGATAATATGAACACACTCGATTAATCCGCAACCTTTTACGATGTTCACAACTAAAGATATTCGACAAACAAAAAAGGTGGTAAAAAGTGGTAAAGTGGCAAAAAGTGGCCTTAAGACAAGTGGAAAAGTTTGGAAAAGTTGGTCAGCCATAAAGGGCACCTAATGGGACTCAAAAACGTCAAAAAACCTCTGAAAGCTTTGAGTGTCAGCAGATCGCTTTTTTTAGACGGATCTGGCTGTACTATAAAAGACATTCCAAACCCACCTCCGTCTAATCTAAAAGCAAGCCCACGAGTGAAACGTAGACAAATATTAAAACACATCCTCGCAAATGGCATTTAAATTAAAATTCTTATTACTTGCCGGTTATAGTTTTCGCCATGTCCTGCATAGCTCAGTCAGCTTAGTGCAAAATATAGAGTAACCTTTTGACGATTCTTCTTCATTCAAAGTGAATTTCAGCTAACTGTTATTGTTATAAATCAACATTGAAAACTTCAAAAGACGGACTGTAGCGGTTTACCAGAACATCTATACAGCGTGTATTTAAAACTAAGGCTTGGAATCTCAGTAAGAGCAGATACTTGTGAAAGCTTAACGATTAAATGGCACATCATCGTTCTGTAACATTAAATTTAGATCCATGACGTACTTCCCGTCTGTTGAAGTGTAATTTTAGTAGTTCCTATAAAGGAGGAACTACAACTCATCAAGCGCTCTGTTTAGTCCTGAAGGGACTGTTGTATAATCAATAGTGATAAATAATAGTAATAATTAACTTAACAATAATTGATAAATAATTAATTTAATAATGAACACCGTAACTTCAAGAAGCATCAGGACCTATGTGCTAAGCTACTTTATAAATTTATCGCCTCACCCGGCCAACAGAATATGATAGCGAAATAAAAATAATTAACTGATACTAGGAATCTCAGTAAGAGCCCCTGTGCACGTGACGATTAAATGGCACAGTCCACGTGCCGGGCATTATCTTGTCTTTTGTGGTAAAAATAGTCCTTTCCTTGCGTTAATATTATCAGCTGGCGAAGTAATTTGCCCTGGTAGTGGTCGTTAGGATAGTTCCAAAGGATGGTTATGAAATTTGTAAACCATTATCTCACTGCAAGAAGAATTTGAATCAGGACAGATGAAAGATGGTGTTGGTATTTTTCTGAAAATTTCAATTTTATAGTATTTTCCGATAGATCCTTCGTCACCCTCGAGCAAAGCTACTGGAGAAATTATCACCCCAACAGACATGGAACAAAGATCATTGCATTTAATCATAAAAAGATTTTTTCGTAGTAGAAGTCTCTTACAGCTTTACAGATCTTTATAAACCTTTATGAAAGGTCCAGGATAGTCGTTAGGATAGTTCTAATAACTTAAATCGTATCCATATATACTTATATAGTTGTACAGGATCCTTTATAAAACTGAAGTATTTAAGCCTTACTGATAGTTGGATAATATCCGGTTGGAAGAGACAAGGACAAATGAAACAGGAAGTTAGGAATGTAGGCAAAGTTTAGGCGTCAACGCCATCTTCAGACTCAAATTATTTGTTATATAGTAGTGTTGAAAGTGTTAAAACTTAAAACTTATGATTTATCTAACTAGTGACTAGTACTCTGCTCTACAGGTGTTTCACATATTCCATTCGACATTCATTTTATACATGATGTAGGTATGTGACACTGAGAATGGAAGGAAATTTGATATTCGGAGAAAATTACCTCCTTTAATTATCGTTTTGAAGAAATGCTGAAATTTAATCCTTTAAAATTCTCACTGTTTACCTGAACACGTGTGTGTATCTCTTACATTCTGAAATTTATTTGTGACTGGTGAAATAATTTAACAGCTTTTAGTCAGTTTTTCAATCGTATTTTTGTTAGCGTTGATTTAGTCTGATTTGAACATACTACCTCAATTTTGAATCCCCTAACTTTACTATTAGCTCCACTCTATCGGATATTTGTAACAGTTCGTAGAGTGTAGAGTTATGCCACTGCCAGGAGAACACAACTTCAGCCCAGACTTCACCCTAACTCCCTCCATCCTCCACGACTACCACACTCACGGCTACATCCTACTGAGGAACTTCCTGGCTCCCTCCGAGGTGGACAATACTCTCCGGGTGTTCACAGAGACAGATGTTATAGAGCGGTCTGCGGTATGGGTATGGCATTCCTGACGCTTCTGGCAGAATGCCAAGGATGGTTTTATGGAATACCCCTGGGGATGATGTTACTGGAATGATATGCAGGTAATGAATGACATATTTCTCATAATATGTTGCCTTCCGTCAGTCTACAATCGTTAACGAATGGTGGATTTACTATCTCCGCACAAGTTAATTTACCCCCTCACACTTGAGTTTACTTGTTTTAGTCACTTGTTGGTGTTGCAGGTGTGAGAAGGTAGTGAGGACTGCTGAACAACTCCTAGGTGGAGAAGTGTACCACTACCACAGCAAGATGGTGATGAAGGAGCCCCTCATAGGAGGGAAGCAGGAGTGGCACCAGGACTATGGTTACTGGTACAACAACGGGTTACTTACCCCTGACGCTCTCAGTGTCTTCATCCCTCTGGATACGTGTACTAGGGAGAACGGGTGTCTTCAAGTTATTGCAGGGTCCCATAAGTGCGGTAAGATCGAGCATGGGGTTGTAGCTGGACAAACTGGGGCGAATCTGGAGAGAGTGGAGGAGATTCAGGGGGATAAAACGGGGAGGTTTAGGCACCTTTTTGTGGAGATGTCACCCGGTGATGCGCTGTTCTTTCACTCGAATGTTCTACATATGAGTGAGCCGAATGACTCGGAGAAGATAAGAAGAGCTCTGATTCTGGCTTATAACAGGAGGGATAACTCAGCAGGAAGGAAGGAGGTTACCGGGCATCATCCTATGTATTCGCCTATTGAGAGGGTCCCTGATTCGGCTATATTGGGTTGCGATAATTTCAGTGATTTTACTGGAAAGGACTTTTTGTTACCTGCAAACGACAAGACAGTTACAGCTGCTAAATAAAGATGTATTATTTTCTTAGTTTGGTCTTGTTATACCTCATCAGTGTTAGGATTTACATTATCGTTTTTATATACAGTTAATATTTTATGTTAGTAATATATAGTTATTTTTTGTATTGTTGATAGTATAGCTTTTTATAAACAATAAACGTGAAATCTTTGTTATCGGCTATATAATTGTTCAATGCACCCACACTAAAACCTTATAGCTTAAATGTAAAACAATTAAACAGCTGTTCACCAAAAGTAAGTAATAACGAATTTTTAGAAATAATAATCATAATATGATCTTTATTTCAGGTATGCGGTAGGGGTTACATCACTCAACAATTGTATCTATGCTGTAGGAGGATTAGATGGTACACGACCTCTAGCAACAGTAGAAAGGTAAATCATACACCTCCCTCCCTCCCTCCCTCCCTCCCTCCCTCCCTCCCTCCCTCCCTCCCTCCCTCCCTCCCTCCCTCCCTCCCTCCCTCCCTCCCTCCCTCCCTCCCTCCCTCCCTCCCTCCCTCCCTCCCTCCCTCCCTCCCTCCCTCCCTCCCTCCCTCCCTCCCTCCCTCCCTCCCTCCCTCCCTCCCTCCCTCCCTCCCTCCCTCCCTCCCTCCCTCCCTCCCTCCCTCCCTCCCTCCCTCCCTCCCTCCCTCCCTCCCTCCCTCCCTCCCTCCTCCCTCCCTCCCTCCCTTCTTCCCTCTTCATTAATAAACCCTACTCAGGTACGACCCTCGTGCTGATAAGTGGAGCGCAGTTGCTGAGATGGACACTCAAAGAGCTGGTGTTGATGTCGCAGTTCTTAATGAGGACCTCTATTCTGTGGGCGGTAAATATAGATTTATCTGATCGTCAAATTAAGTGTAGATATTTTAAGAATAAAAATTGATTGCTTAATCCTGAGAAAAACAAAAATTTTGCTACTCTTCAATCCCAATAATTGCCACGTCATAATCTCCAGATAAATTATTTATTCCAGGTATTTATTCCAATCATTTATTCCAGGTATTCTGGGATCCTCACCTCTGCAAACTGTGGAGAAGCTGGATATTCGAGCTAACAAGTGGGTTTACGTCGCAGAAATGAGCATTCCACGCGTTGATGCCGGGGCAGGATCCATTTCCCTGCTGTAGTGTGACGTCATCTAATACAACCGTGACGTCATTTATACAACTGTGACGTCATCATTTCCCCTGATGTAATGTGACGTCATTTATACGACTGTGACGTCATTTCCCAGCTGTAATTTGACGTCATTTATACAACTGTGACGTCATTTCCCTGCTGTAATGTGACGTCATCTATACAACTATGACGTCATTTATACAACTATGACGTCATCATGCAACTATGACGTTATCAAATGTCTCGGGAAATAAAAAGCTTCGACTTTTTAGCTTTGTGGTTTACGACGAGATCGTATTCTTTTTGAGGATAGTGATAAGACGTTATTTGGAAATGACTATTGTACGAGTCAGCTCCGAAGGTTTATCAGTTATTGTTTACAGCTATATTGGCATTATACCATCTGTAATCAATGCTGTTTTTAATAGTTCAGTGGTAGTTATAGAATTAATTAAAAGATTCTACGTAATTGAAAATTTAAAGTTAGATTGTTAGATTATTACTAAATCCAATCACTCTATGTTGATCTAAATTTTGATCTGTTTTATATTTTGAAGTTTTAAAAGTAGATTTAATTGATAAGCAGTCCTTTGATTGGCATATCATGCCGCATAAGATCAAAATTGAATTCAAAATATTGGTTGATTTATTCGATTAGTTCATTTTAAATGTATCAAGTTAACAATCAAAATCTATTGACAGAAAAGGCCCTAAATCCCAATACAACTTCATGGAATTACGGGAATTATTAAGTTATACTTATGCATGCAGCAAATTGCGGACGATATATTTAATTTTTTACTATTATTTATGAAAATTTATTGCGATGTATTATAACTGCATGATAATGGAATTAACGTTAAAACCGAACCCAAAATTGTTGTTTCCATTTGTCTTTGCTATAGATCATCTTTAAGAAAATTATGTCCAGTACTTTTAGAACCTACAGAATTACAGAATGACAACAATTACCCGGTCACTTTAGTCTCGTAAATTGGAACCCTCTAAATAAGTTAACATCCGTCTTATAGTTCTTCCTCTTCACTCTCCAAGTCCAGTGGAGACTCCACTGCTCATGTTACTTCTTCTACAGTATACTCTCCTACTTCCTCTCTCCTTCTTCAGTCCCCCTATTTTTATATTCCTGATCGTCCTCCTTTTCTTCTTTCTTCCCCTCCTTTTATCCTTATGATATATTACTATTGTAAAAGCAATAATAAGGCACTTTTGGTTGAAAAAAAAAAAAATGAAATATCTAAAATTACTGTTTATTCATTTCAAATAAAATAAAAAAACTAAAACCACTTACCAAGTTAAAGTATCACATTCTTAAAATAAAGTATTATATTAATCCTACTAAACTGATTATTACTATTAACCATGCTCAAATTTGCTATCATTAGTGATCTTTCTAAAACTATAAAAGATATATTCTACATTCTTTTAACATTTATTCCATGTGGGCTGAGGGTCACTGCCTCTTCACTTTTGCGTACGTGAGTTTAGTTTCGTTTCTTTGATTAGGTTCTTTCGATCGTTGACTCTTTGCAATCTCCGAGAATCAGTGAATGTGATTTGAGGCTGGCGGTTGAACTGCCGTTTTCCTCTTCGTCTGCAGGTCTAGCTTTGACGGCAGGTTGAGCGGCATTTTTGTGGGCAGGTTCTGCATCTTCGTCTCTTTTAACGAAATTATTTATCCAATTGTCACCAAAGATTGACCCAAAACCACTAAACGCTGATTTCATATTTTTTTCCATTTGTGCGCCCAGCTCATTCATTTTTTCCCCCCATTCTTCCATTTGCTTTCCAAAGTCACTCATTTTACCAAACTGTGTTGTAAAATCCGTGCCGTTGTACATTTTGACGATTTTGTCTCCGATTTTTGCGCAGTCCACTTTAGCATCCCCACTGCAAGCACTGTACGTAAACGTAACTGTGCTGCTCTCTACCGTTTTGTCATTTACACTGACCAGAGCTGAGAATCCCACCGGAGTTGAAATGCACACTTGGCCTTTCGCACAATCTACTAAGGTGCTGTCCGAACATGCTTCTGAAAATAACAAATTAAATTTAATTTAATTAACTGTAAAATTAACACAAGATTTTTTATCCAATTTGAAAACCCAAAATCTCATTGACTAGGTTGTGCTAGGTTGTACCACATAACCTAGCACTTTGCCTAAAAGTTCGGAACTCCTGGACCTATGAAGTATGTGGCATTCATGCTCCCTGATTCTGAACAAACAAACAAAAAACCCTCTAAACTATACTCACTAAGTCCATCAGGAAGTTTTTGAGAAGAGCCATCCTGTTTAACCACGTCTGAAACAGTAGCACAACCATCATTACACTTGACTGCGTCAGTCTGTTATGATTCCCCTGTTTCATTTTGAACAATAAAAGTCTTTATATATTTTTGAAATTTTTATAGGCGAACGCGGCGAAGATAAAATTTTAATGGAAAAATGTGTTTATGCATCAAAAGCGCCATGTTGTCGAACAGTGTCGTTAATTGTTACGGAAGGTTAGCGAATAAAACCCATTATTTTGAGATATCAAGTCGGAAATTATACAAAAATGAGCATTTAAAGAATTTTGCTTTAAATGCTCTGTAGAGTGATTCAGCACGCTCGCATCTTTCTATCATTCCCCAGTGTGTTCGTAGGACTGATGAAAAGTTTGAAAATTAGAAATTTTCAGAAAATGTGTTATTGGACTGCCGATCTGGGGAGCAACCTAGGGCCCTCTATATATTCATGCCCATTGTAGGCTGCATCCCCGATCCCCGAGACTTCGTCTTACTTTCGTCTGGTTTGCACTCTCTCTTCATACCAAGTTACTAGCTAGGTAACAAGGTAATCGAGACAGTTTTCAACGTAACAACGATTTCAGCCGGTTCGGACAAATCTTTGTTCTAACCATTTGAACAACAAATCAGTGCACTGCCATCTGTACGCGTCCTCACACACTGTTCTTAAACCAGAGTTAGCTTTATACCAACATAGTGAACGAAACATTTACTTGTATGTACCCCTAATCATCGAATTACCACCCAATTTCACGCTATTACAACTCCCTGCAACTCCACTGCAACTCCAAGCTCTTAATTACGCCTTATATGGATGTGTAATTAGCTTTGCAAATATCACGTGCTAGATGCAGCTTTAATTACGCCTTATATGGTGCGTAATCGGGTCTGCATGATAGCTCAATGTCACGCGCTATATATCCAACCAGTAAACGCGCTCAATCGATATCTCGTGACTGTCACGTGACAGCTATCCAAGGAAATTCTCTATATGGCGCCTCCGGTGTAAACTAGGAAAGAGCTAGTTTGAGCTTTAAATAGGCAGGACACCGCTGAATCTGCAGCTGAAATTTATAACTTCTACCATCACTCAAGCAGGTGGCGGTGAAGTTGAAAGTCAGCCTGAGTGAGCGTGTTAAATCACTCCTTATGCTACATTGTCCCGGTCACTAAGTACTCCCTGTACTAGACGTAATAATAATAATAAACTATAATAATAATAATAAACTATGATATAAAGTAGTGGATGACCTTGCTGTACGGCAAGTTAAACAAGGATCTGAAACTACTAGGTTCCGTACAGACTCAACTCTGCACCCGTGTCAATATGTTCATTATATGCAAGCCTCTTGATTTATAAGTTATTATAATAACTATTTTAGTCTGATTTGAACATACTACCATAATTTTGAATCCCCTAACTTTATTATTAGCTCCACTCTATCGGATATTTGTAACAGTACGTAGAGTGTAGAGTCATGCCACTGCCAGGAGAACACAACTTCACCCCAGACTTCACCCTAACTCCCTCCAACCTCCACGACTACCACACTCACGGCTACATCCTACTGAGGAACTTCCTGGCTCCCTCCGAGGTGGACAATACTCTCCGGGTGTTTACAGAGACAGATGTTATAGAGCGGTTTGGGTATGGCATTCCTGACGCTTCTGGCAGAATGCCAAGGATGGTTTTATGGAATACCCCTGGGGATGATGTTACTGGAATGATATGCAGGTAATGAATGACATATTTCTCATAATATGTTGCCTTCCGTCAGTCTACAATCGTTAACGAATGGTGGATTTACTATCTCCGCACAAGTTAATTTACCCCCTCACACTTGAGTTTACTTGTTTTAGTCACTTGTTGGTGTTGCAGGTGTGAGAAGGTAGTGAGCACTGCTGAACAACTCCTAGGAGGAGAAGTGTACCACTACCACAGCAAGATGGTGATGAAGGAGCCCCTGATAGGAGGGAAGCAGGAGTGGCACCAGGACTATGGTTACTGGTACAACAACGGGTTGCTTACCCCTGACGCTCTCAGTGTCTTCATCCCTCTGGATACGTGTACTAGGGAGAATGGGTGTCTTCAAGTTATTGCAGGGTCCCATAAGTGCGGGAAGATCGAGCATGGGCTTGTAGCTGGACAAACTGGGGCGAATCTGGAGAGAGTGGAGGAGATTCAGGGGGATAAAACGGGGAGGTTTAGGCACCTTTTTGTGGAGATGTCACCCGGTGATGCGCTGTTCTTTCACTCGAATGTTCTGCATATGAGTGAGCCGAATGACTCGGAGAAGATAAGAAGAGCTCTGATTCTGGCTTATAACAGGAGGGATAACTCAGCAGGAAGGAAGGAGGTTACCGGGCATCATCCTATGTATTCGCCTATTGAGAGGGTCCCTGATTCGGCTATATTGGGTTGCGATAATTTCAGTGATTTTACTGGAAAGGACTTTTTGTTACCTGCAAACGACAAGACAGTTACAGCTGCTAAATAAAGATGTATTATTTTCTTAGTTTGGTCTTGTTATACCTCATCAGTGTTAGGATTTACATTATCGTTTTTATATAATTTATAGTTATTTTTTTGTATTGTTGATAGTATAGCTTTTTATAAACAATAAACGTGAAATCTTTGTTATCGGCTATATAATTGTTCAATGCACCCACACTAAAACCTTATAGCTTAAATGTAAAACAATTAAACAGCTGTTCACCAAAAGTAAGTAATAACGAATTTTTAGAAATAATAATATGATCTTTATTTCAGGTATGCGGTAGGGGTTACATCACTCAACAATTGTATCTATGCTGTAGGAGGATTAGATGGTACACGACCTCTAGCAACAGTAGAAAGGTAAATCATACACCTCCCTCCCTCCCTCCCTCCCTCCCTCCCTCCCTCCCTCCCTCCCTCCCTCCCTCCCTCCCTCCCTCCCTCCCTCCCTCCCTCCCTCCCTCCCTCCCTCCCTCCCTCCCTCCCTCCCTCCCTCCCTCCCTCCCTCCCTCCCTCCCTCCCTCCCTCCCTCCCTCCCTCCCTCCCTCCCTCCCTCCCTCCCCTCCATCCCTCCCTCCCTCGCTCCCCTCCCTCCCTCCCTCCTTCCCTCTTCATTAATAAACCCTACTCAGGTACGACCCTCGTGCTGATAAGTGGAGCGCAGTTGCTGAGATGGACACTCAAAGAGCTGGTGTTGATGTCGCAGTTCTTAATGAGGACCTCTATTCTGTGGGCGGTAAATATTGATTTATCTGATCGTCAAATTAAGTGTAGATATTTTAAGAATAAAAATTGATTACTTAATCCTGAGAAAAACAAAAATTTTGCTACTCTTCAATCCAAGAATTGCCACGTCATAATCTCCAGATAAATCATTTATTCCAGGTATTTATTCCAATCATTTATTCCAGGTATTCTGGGATCCTCACCTCTACAAACTGTGGAGAAGCTGGATATTCGAGCTAATAAGTGGGTTTACGTCGCAGAAATGAGCATTCCACGCGTTGATGCCGGGGCAGGATCCATTTCCCTGCTGTAGTGTAACGTCATCTAATACAACCGTGACGTCATTTATACAACTGTGACGTCATTCCAAGCTGTATTGACGTCATTTATACAACTATGACGTCATTTATACAACTATGACGTCATAAAATGTCTCGGGAAATAAAAAGCCTCAACTTTTTAGCTTTGTGGTTTACGACGAGATCGTATTCTTTTTGAGGATAGTGATAAGACGTTATTTGGAAATGACTATTGTACGAGTCAGCTCCGAAGGTTTATCAGTTATTGTTTACAGCTATATTGGCATTATACCATCTGTAATCAATGCTGTTTTTAATAGTTCAGTGGTAGTTATAGAATTAATTAAAAGATTCTACGTAATTGAAAATTTAAAGTTAGATTGTTAGATTATTACTAAATCCAATCACTCTATGTTGATCTAAATTTTGATCTGTTTTATATTTTGAAGTTTTAAAAGTAGATTTAATTGATAAGCAGTCCTTTGATTGGCATATCATGCCGCATAAGATCAAAATTGAATTCAAAATATTGGTTGATTTATTCGATTAGTTCATTTTAAATGTATCAAGTTAACAATCAAAATCTATTGACAGAAAAGGCCCTAAATCCCAATACAACTTCATGGAATTACGGGAATTATTAAGTTATACTTATGCATGCAGCAAATTGCGGACGATATATTTAATTTTTTACTATTATTTATGAAAATTTATTGCGATGTATTATAACTGCATGATAATGGAATTAACGTTAAAACCGAACCCAAAATTGTTGTTTCCATTTGTCTTTGCTATAGATCATCTTTAAGAAAATTATGTCCAGTACGTTTAGAACGTACAGAAGTACAGAATCACAACTATTACCCGGTCACTTTAGTCTCCTATAGTGGAACCCTCTAAATAAGTTAACACCCGTCTTATAGTTCCTCGTACTCAGTTCTGAGTTCTCCCTACTTAAACGTCCCTCTCCTCGTTTCTTCTTCTTCTCTTCGCTCTCCACTGCTCCTGTTAGTGTTACTCCTTCTACAGTATACTCTCCTACTTCCTCTCTCCTTCTTCAGTCCCCCTATTTTTATATTCCTGATCGTCCTCCTTTTCTTCTTTCTTCCCCTCTTTTATCCTTATGATATATTACTAATGTAAAAGCAAGAATAAGGCACTTTTGGTTGGAAAAAAATAAATGAAATATCTAAAATTACTGTTTATTCATTTCAAATAAAATAAAAAACTAAAACCACTTACCAAGTTAAAGTATCACATTCTTAAAATAAAGTATTATATTAATCCTACTAAACTGATTATTACTATTAACAATGCTCAAATTTGCTATCATTAGTGATCTTTCTAAAACTATAAAAGATATATTCTACATTCTTTTAACATTTATTTCATGTGGGCTGAGGGTCACTGCCTCTTCACTTTTGCGTACGTGAGTTTAGTTTCGTTTCTTTGATTAGGTTCTTTCGATCGTTGACTCTTTGCAATCTCCGAGAATCAGTGAATGTGATTTGAGGCTGGCGGTTGAACTGCCGTTTTCCTCTTCGTCTGCAGGTTTAGCTTTGACGGCAGGTTGAGCGGCATTTTTGTCGGCAGGTTCTATAGCTGCTGGTTTGGCCGCATCTTCGTCTCTTTTAACGAAATTATTTATCCAATTGTCACCAAAGATTGACCCCAAACCACTAAACGCTGTTTTCATATTTTTTTCCATTTGTGCGCCCAGCTCATTCATTTTTTCCCCCCATTCTTCCATTTGCTTTCCAAAGTCACTCATTTTACCAAACTGTGTTGTAAAATCCGTGCCGTTGTACATTTTGAAGATTTTGTCTCCGATTTTTGCGCAGTCCACTTTAGCATCCCCACTGCAAGCACTGTACGTAAACGTAACTGTGCTGCTCTCTACCGTTTTGTCATTTACACTGACCAGAGCTGAGAATCCCACCGGAGTTGAAATGCACACTTGGCCTTCCGCACAATCTACTAAGGTGCTGTCCGAACATGCTTCTGAAAATAAAAAATTTGATTAAATTTAATTAACTGTAAAATTAACACAAGATTTTTTATCCAATTTGAAAACCCAAAATCTCATTGACTAGGTTGTGCTAGGTTGTACCACATAACCTAGCACTTTGCCTAAAAGTTCGGAACTCATGGACCTAAGAAGTATGTGGCATTCCTGCTCCCTGAACAAACAAACAAAAAATTCTCTAAACTATACTCACTAAGTCCATCAGGAAGTTTTTGAGAAGAGCCATCCTGTTTAACCACGTGTGAAAAAGTAGCACAACCATCATTACACTTGACTGCGTCAGTCTGGTGGTGGCAGAGGAAGATCAGGAGTAGAACTAGGACTCCTCTCATGGTGAGGTCTTACTTCGCTATTTGAATTAGTTGTGAGAGTTGTTATCTAATCTAAAAATCAACCTATGATATAAGTTATTATAATAACTATGGTAACCATAACTTAGTATTAATAACTAAAGAATAGCATATACATATAGAGAAATTTAATTTTAACACCTGTAGTTAGATTTGACTTGTACTTGTAAAATTGTAGTTCATGCAACCTATGTCCCATAAAAATCCTGCTCAGATAAACAGCTGTGTCACTGATAAGAGTAAGACCAAAGACCTCGATCTTCATTTTTCCGCAGATGCGATAAATATCTGCTTTTACCTAAACACACATAAACTGATCACAAAAAGTAAACATAATGCTCCAACATGATCTGAATGAGCTCTAATCTTAGCTCCAAGTTAACCACAAATAAAATTAGTAATTAGCGCAGACTTGTTAAATACAAAGAAGCTTTGTAAGTCGCTTTTACAAGTATACCAGCTGGTAACAAGGTAATCGGAAGTGAGACAGTTTTTCATTCAACGTAACAAACGATTTCAGCCGGATCGGACAAATCTTTATTTCTACCAACGTGAACAACAAATCAGTGCACTGCCATCTGTACGCGCCTCAACACACTGTTCTTTAAACCAAGTTAGCTTTAATACAAACATAGTTTTTCACGAAATATTTTACTGGTATGAAACCCCTAATCATCGATTACCACCAAATTTCACCGCTATTACAACTCCCTGCAACTCCATTCTGCAACTCCAAGCCTTAATTCCGCCTATAATGGATGTGTAATGAGCTGTGCAGAAAATCACGTTGAGTTAGGGGTTTCATTATTAAATTAATCATTTATCAATTATTGTTAAGTTAATTATTACTATTATATTTTATCACTATTGATTATACAACAGTCCCTTCAGGACTAAACAGGGCGCTTGTTGAGTTGTTGTTCCTCCTTTATAGGAACTACAAAAATCACACTTCAACAGACGGGAAGTACGTCATGTATCTCAATTTAATGTTACAGGACGATGATGTGCCATTTAATCGTTAAGTTTTCACAAGCATCTGCTCTTACTGAGATTCCAAGCCTTAGTTTTAAATACACGCTGTATAGATGTTCTTGTAAACCGCTACAGTCCGTCTGTTGAAGTTTTCAATGTAGATTTATAACAATAACAGTTAGCTGAAATTCACTTTGAATGAAGAAGAATCATCAAAAGGTTACTCTATATTTTGCACTAAGCTGACTGAGCTGTTCAGGACCTGGCGAAAACTATAACCGGCAAGTAATAGGAATTTTAATTTAAATGCCATTTGCGGGGATGTGTTTTAATATTTGTCTACGTTTCACTCGTGAGCTTGCTTTTAGATTAGACGGAGGTGGGTTTGGAATGTCTTTTAATTTCCAATCACTTTTCAATATCATCTTAGCTAAAATATTTTTTAGATTATGGAGCTATGAAACTTACGACATTACTGATTCTGTTGAATCTTGGTAAACCAGAGAGATTTCCATCATCACCACAGAGTACTACGACATGGACATCACCATTCACCACAAGCACAAAAGCTTCAATTATCCCAGGTATTATATAACTTATATTATTACGTATACAAATTAAAATCGACTACTACATCAGTTTAACCCATATTCTTCCACGGTACTTTTAAAAGTACGGTTCTTAAACAGTGACCTAACTTGTCTCGTGACAAATATTTTTTGATACAGTTTTTTGCATTAGGTTAGAAAAGGTCTGCTGATGATTTTAACACCCTGGCCAGATGGTTAAAAAAAGCAAGAAATTTATAGGATGTTGGCAAAGGTGGTCAAAAATGGTACTTTGAAAAATGGTAAATTCTCGGTACCACCAGCCAATTCTCCAACTTTGATGGATCCCAAATTTGTTTTTTTAATATTGCCTAAACGATTGTGCAATAAATATGCAATAATGTGGGGCGACATAAAAATCATTAATTGCCTCTAATTGAGATGTTAATTGGGTGTACTTTCAAAAGTACATCATTCTAGACAATGATGTACTTTTAAAAGTACGTACTTTTAAAAGTGCATTATCTTCGAATATTGTACTTTTAAAAGGACAGGTTTCACGAAAAATGTACTTTTAAAAGTACAGGTTTATAATTTATATAGACTACACAATGTGTGCTGGCATGATTAACGTCGGTAAGACTGTAATGGCAGGTAAATTGTTCTGAATCAGAACGGAAGACACAACAGAAATTTTCTGTTGTGACTTCTGGATTTAGTCGATCTTGAAGGATCCACGTTTTCACCCGGTTATTCCACGTCTTCCAGAGCGGCCTCAATATACTTTTACTTAATGCGGGGGGGGGGGGGGGTGGGTCATATTTTCTTCCAAAACACAGTTAGTACTTTTGTACTAAGTGGTGGGTCTGCTGCTCATTTCCCAGAAAATCAGTTAGTACAAGGTACTAAGGGGGTGTCCAACCCCAAAAAATCCATTTTACCTCAAATTTCAATTTTGGGAATGGGTTTTTTTTTGGGTTTTGAGGTTTTTTTCCTTTTTTTTGGGTTTTTTTATTTTGTTTCCTTTTTTTGTAACTTTTTATTTGATTCGACTGCATTGAAAACAAAATCCCTATTAAATAGTGGGTAGACTTTGTCCATTTCCCAATGTTTAATGAGCTGTTTAAAGCAATTTATGGGTGGGTATCTTATTTTATATACCAAAACACAGTCAGTACCGTGATTTCTCAACAGTTAGTACCGCAAAAGGGGTGGGTGTCCTAAATATTATCCGAAAAAAAAAGTTAGTACCGCGAAGGGGGTGGGTGGGTCTTTTTTGTAAATTCCAAAGTTGCACTTAGTCGACGTCACGTACGGCACTTGGTACCTGATCCCCCACCCCCCCCCCCCCCCCCCCCCCCCCCCCCCCCGCTTAATGTTCATAATCCTAGATCTTGTAACTGGTTTCCGAATTCCGATGTATGTTAACTATTAAATACTGACATGATTGTGTGCCATCAGCATTCAGCAATCTGCTGTTCCAACATAAGATTCCTTTCCTTGTTGTCTATGCATTTCCTCAGCTGAGTTGTTCTGTTCCTCTAGAACTCTCTCCACCTCTGCTACTCTCTTCTGCTCCTCTAGAACTCTCTCAGCTTCTGCTACTCTCTCCTGCTCCTCAAGAACTCTCTCAGCTTCTGCTACTCTCTTCTGTTCCTCTAGAATACGCTCAGCTTCTGCTACTCTCTTCTGTTCCTCTATAACTCTCTCAGCTTCTGCTACTCTCGTCTGTTCCTCTAGAATTCTCTCCACCTCTGCTACTCTTTTCTGTTCCTCTAGAATACGCTCAGCTTCTGCTACTCTCTTCTGTTCCTCTAGAACTCTCTCAGCTTCTGCTACTTTCGTCTGTTTCTCTAGAATTCTCTCCACCTCTGCTACTCTCTTCTGTTCCTCTAGAATACGCTCAGCTTCTGCTACTCTCTTCTGCTCCTCTAGAACTCTCTCAGCTTCTGCTACTCTCGTCTGTTTCTCTAGAATTCTCTCCACCTCTGCTACTCTCTCCTGTTCCTCTAGAATACGCTCAGCTTCTGCTACTCTCTTCTGCTCCTCTAGAACTCTCTCAGCTTCTGCTACTCTCTTCTGTTCCTCTAGAACTCTCTCAGCTTCTGCTACTCTGTTTTGTTCCTCTAGAACTCTCTCAGCTTCTGCTACTCTCTTCTGCTCCTCTAGAACTCTCTCAGCTTCTGCTACTCTCGTCTGTTTCTCTAGAATTCTCTCCACCTCTGCTACTCTCTTCTGTTCCTCTAGAATACGCTCAGCTTCTGCTACTCTCTTCTGTTCCTCTAGAACTCTCTCAGCTTCTGCTACTTTCGTCTGTTTCTCTAGAATTCTCTCCACCTCTGCTACTCTCTTCTGTTCCTCTAGAATACGCTCAGCTTCTGCTACTCGCTTCTGCCCCTCTAGAACTCTCTCAGCTTCTGCTACTCTCGTCTGTTTCTCTAGAATTCTCTCCACCTCTGCTACTCTCTTCTGTTCCTCTAGAATACGCTCAGCTTCTGCTACTCTCTTCTGCTCCTCTAGAACTCTCTCAGCTTCTGCTACTCTCGTCTGTTCCTCTAGAATTCTCTCCACCTCTGCTACTCTCTTCTGTTCCTCTAGAATACGCTCAGCTTCTGCTACTCTCTTCTGCTCCTCTAGAACTCTCTCAGCTTCTGCTACTCTCGTCTGTTTCTCTAGAATTCTCTCCACCTCTGCTACTCTCTTCTGTTCCTCTAGAATACGCTCAGCTTCTGCTACTCTCTTCTGTTCCTCTAGAACTCTCTCAGCTTCTGCTACTTTCGTCTGTTTCTCTAGAATTCTCTCCACCTCTGCTACTCTCTTCTGTTCCTCTAGAATACGCTCAGCTTCTGCTACTCGCTTCTGCCCCTCTAGAACTCTCTCAGCTTCTGCTACTCTCGTCTGTTTCTCTAGAATTCTCTCCACCTCTGCTACTCTCTTCTGTTCCTCTAGAATACGCTCAGCTTCTGCTACTCTCTTCTGCTCCTCTAGAACTCTCTCAGCTTCTGCTACTCTCGTCTGTTCCTCTAGAATTCTCTCCACCTCTGCTACTCTCTTCTGTTCCTCTAGAATACGCTCAGCTTCTGCTACTCTCTTCTGCTCCTCAAGAACTCTCTCAGCTTCTGCTACTCTCTTCTGTTCCTCTAGAATACGCTCAGCTTCTGCTACTCTCTTCTGTTCCTCTATAACTCTCTCAGCTTCTGCTACTCTCGTCTGTTCCTCTAGAATTCTCTCCACCTCTGCTACTCTTTTCTGTTCCTCTAGAATACGCTCAGCTTCTGCTACTCTCTTCTGTTCCTCTAGAACTCTCTCAGCTTCTGCTACTTTCGTCTGTTTCTCTAGAATTCTCTCCACCTCTGCTACTCTCTTCTGTTCCTCTAGAATACGCTCAGCTTCTGCTACTCTCTTCTGCTCCTCTAGAACTCTCTCAGCTTCTGCTACTCTCGTCTGTTTCTCTAGAATTCTCTCCACCTCTGCTACTCTCTCCTGTTCCTCTAGAATACGCTCAGCTTCTGCTACTCTCTTCTGCTCCTCTAGAACTCTCTCAGCTTCTGCTACTCTCTTCTGTTCCTCTAGAACTCTCTCAGCTTCTGCTACTCTGTTTTGTTCCTCTAGAACTCTCTCAGCTTCTGCTACTCTCTTCTGCTCCTCTAGAACTCTCTCAGCTTCTGCTACTCTCGTCTGTTTCTCTAGAATTCTCTCCACCTCTGCTACTCTCTTCTGTTCCTCTAGAATACGCTCAGCTTCTGCTACTCTCTTCTGTTCCTCTAGAACTCTCTCAGCTTCTGCTACTTTCGTCTGTTTCTCTAGAATTCTCTCCACCTCTGCTACTCTCTTCTGTTCCTCTAGAATACGCTCAGCTTCTGCTACTCGCTTCTGCCCCTCTAGAACTCTCTCAGCTTCTGCTACTCTCGTCTGTTTCTCTAGAATTCTCTCCACCTCTGCTACTCTCTTCTGTTCCTCTAGAATACGCTCAGCTTCTGCTACTCTCTTCTGCTCCTCTAGAACTCTCTCAGCTTCTGCTACTCTCGTCTGTTCCTCTAGAATTCTCTCCACCTCTGCTACTCTCTTCTGTTCCTCTAGAATACGCTCAGCTTCTGCTACTCTCTTCTGCTCCTCTAGAACTCTCTCAGCTTATGCTACTCTCTTCTGTTCCTCTAGAGTCTAGAACTCTCTCAGCTTCTGCTACTCTCTTCTGTTCCTCTATAACATTCTCAGCTTCTGCTACTCTCGTCTGTTCCTCTAGAATTCTCTCCACCTCTGCTACTCTCTTCTGTTCCTCTAGAACTCTCTCAGCTTCTGCTACTCTCTTCTGTTCCTCTAGAACTCTCTCAGCTTCTGCTACTCTCTTCTGTTCCTCTAGAACTCTCTCAGCTTCTGCTACTCTCTTCTGTTCCTCTAGAATACGCTCAGCTTCTGCTACTCTCTTCTGTTCCTCTAGAATACGCTCAGCTTCTGCTACTCTCTTCTGTTCCTCTAGAATACGCTCAGCTTCTGCTACTCTCTTCTGTTCCTCTATAACATTCTCAGCTTCTGCTACTCTCGTCTGTTCCTCTAGAATTCTCTCCACCTCTGCTACTCTCTTCTGTTCCTCTAGAACTCTCTCAGCTTCTGCTACTCTCTTCTGTTCCTCTAGAACTCTCTCAGCTTCTGCTACTCTCTTCTGTTCCTCTAGAACTCTCTCAGCTTCTGCTACTCTCTTCTGTTCCTCTAGAATACGCTCAGCTTCTGCTACTCTCTTCTGTTCCTCTAGAACTCTCTCAGCTTCTGCTACTCTCTTCTGTTCCTCTAGAACTCTCTCAGCTTCTGCTACTCTCTTCTGTTCCTCTAGAATACGCTCAGCTTCTGCTACTCTCTTCTGCTCCTCTAGAATACGCTCAGCTTCTGCTACTCTCTTCTGTTCCTCTAGAATACGCTCAGCTTCTGCTACTCTCTTCTGTTCCTCTAGAATACGCTCAGCTTCTGCTACTCTCTTCTGCTCCTCTAGAATACGCTCAGCTTCTGCTACTCTCTTCTGCTCCTCTAGAATTGTCTCAGCCTCCTCTAGAATTGTCTCAGCCTCTGTTTAATTAAGTAACGCACCTCCATAAGTACACTATTCATTAAACCCGTACTTTTAAAAGTACATTATTTATTAAACCCGTACTTTTAAAAGTACATCATTCAAATATGATGTACTTTTAAAAGTACGATGCAATGTTCCAAAAAAGCAAGCTCCAACAATGAACTTTTAAAAGTACGGGTCGAAAAAGCTATAAAAAATATAAATTTTTTCAAAATAATTATTGCACCGTCGGAGTTGGTACCTCAGTGCTTAGGAAACAAAATTTCATCAAAAAATTCGAACGTTTAGAGTTGTTGGTATTATATGGGTTAAAGACAGTTATTTTTGTTTTGGGTAAATTAATGGAAACGTTAGCTTATTGAGTGTCACTCTTGAAAACACTTTGCAGAATCGTGCAGTTTTCAAGAAGAAACAGGATTTTTGAAGCAGGTATGTTCGAGACGAAGGAATCACTACACGCTCTATAAGTGTCACAACACAGAGGAATATTATTGGACGAACAAATGGCAAGAAGTGTCAGTTTTATGTTCAGATGATCCGCACTATTATCAGGCTTGCACTGGTCACCACACTACAGTAGATAATATGGAGATAACAAATAGCAACATTCTTTGTGGAGGATTTATGTGTGAGACTAAATTTGGTATGATCGAGAACACATTAAAATATGATAATACAATTTGCAATGGACGATCTGACTGTGTCAATACAAAACTAGATGAAGAGGGATGCAGCGAAATGATAGCTATGCCGGGTGGGGACAAGATAGTGTCCAACAAAATCTGTAATGATGTGTGTGATGCAGGCTACTGTGAAGACGAGGCTACATGTAACGGATACAGTTACGGTATGTATTGTGACGCTAGGCATACGCCAGGAATAGTAAACTACTTACCACCATTTTTAATATGTAGTGGAGATAAGAACTGTGTTAACGGAGAGGACGAAGCTAACTGTACCGTAACTAATGAAACACAGTACACTTGTGAACATTACAGAAGTAAACTTACAGTACCAGTAAACAACTTTACAAGATGTACAGTGTTAACCGATTACAACACGTACTGCAGTGATTATGCTTCATATCACACAAACTGTTCAGATCCCGCAAGAGTAGGGGTAAGGTGTCTTGTTAACGGATACTTGTCCTCTGTATCAAAATATATGATCTGCTTGGGTAGGAAGGCAATATGTGACGATAACTTTGAGAACCAGTGCTTACAAACCTCTGTTCAGTGTACTGTTCACAGGCACTTCATGTGTGATGGTCAACCAGACTGCAATGATAAAAGTGATGAAACTGGTCTTATATGCAACACCACGACACTGGAAAAGTGTGAAAGACACGGCGGCCAGAAAAGGGAACTTCCAATACCTCTAGCTTGGTTAAGAGACGGGGTTAAGGACTGTTTGAATGGAATCGACGAATATGACAGATGGCCCACTTGTGGGAGCAACATATCATTACGATTTGTTACCAGCAACGACAAGTGTGAAAATGTGTTCCTTTGTCCATGGGGTGACCCTGGATATGTGGGATTTAGTAAACTATGCGATGGAGTTGAAACATGCGGAAATGAAAATATGATCTGCTCTGAGTCCCGCAAACAACCGAAACTGTCCACAGTCGTTTTATCAACTGATAGAAGCCTAACAAAGCATTTATCATACTGCATAAAGGGGATAAAAAACACACAAAACTTCGAAAATCATTGCTTCACTATCAGCATGTTTAGATTATCAAATGAAAACGTTTACGGAGGAACCAATACAACGGTTATCATGCCAAACATTCTTCAAGATTGTGACCACATGTTTGGAGAACAATATTTGTACACTAGTTGTGCAGACAAGTGTTTCAGTTCCTCTTGTCCACTGAGAAATATCCCTAGATATGAGGCTTGTCCAGCACAATATCAAAATAGAATAGGGACGATATTCAATAACGAATACCTAACATTTGTCACAAAATCATATGAAGATATTTATACGAACAAGTATTTTGTCTGTGACAACAATATCACTTGCATTGATTATTCCCAAGTATGCAATCTCATCGATAATTGCGGGGATGGCTCGGATGAGGAGAGCTGCACAAATAATTTCAAGTGTGACGGTAGCTACATACCGGTGACAAAGAAATGTGACGGATCATTTGACTGCCTGGATTTAACGGACGAATGTAATAACCAGTGTTCAAGACAGATTCTAGAAGGGAGTGCTCTCAAATGTTCATCGTGGGTTATAGGATTTCTAGCCGTCCTGGCAAATCTTATCATCCTGTCCAAAAATACTGGAACTCTGAAGAACTGTAAAACCACCGTAGCTCTGTTCAATAAGTCCCTTATTATGATGATATCTTTTGGAGACCTTTTAGTTGGTATCTACTTATTCGTCATATCAGTTTATGATGGTGTAATCTTCAAGGAACAATATTGTACTCAGCAGATTGGTTGGATTACCAGCATCCACTGTTCAATTATTGGTGTTCTTAGCACCATAGGATCTCAAGTCTCGCTTTTTGCTATGTGTGCACTGAGCCTCACCCGAATTTATGGAATAAAAAATTCTATGAGAATTCCGGGAGAAGTTACCTTAATAAAATCACTCCAAGTTGCAGGAGGTGTTTTTATGATGACGTTGGCGTCCATTATCATTGCTGTTATCCCAATTATCTCCAAATTTGAGGATTTCTTCGTCAATGGAGTAAAATATGCAGAAGAGATAAAGATATTTATTGGAACAATGAACAAGCAGACGCTATTTGCCGTCTTTCAAGGATACTTTGGTAGAATGAAAGAAACAACACTAAGTTGGCATTTGATCAACAAAATGATGTCCGAGATGTATTCTCACGATAATGGGTATGAAGATTACACAAAAAACATACAAAAGGTAGATTTCTATGGAAATGATGGAGTCTGCCTCTTCAAATATTTTGTCAAAGAAAATGATCCACAGAGGCACTTGGTATGGGCAATTCTTGCCCTGAACTTTGTTTGCTTCTTTTTCATTACAGCTTCATACTTAATAATTGGCATCATATCTCACAAATCTTCTAAAAGTTTGACTCAGTCAGGAGGGAACCGACAGATAACTCAACGCAATAGAAAAATGAACTTAAGAATCACCATCATCATCACTACAGATTTCCTTTGCTGGGTGCCCTTCATAGTGATATGTGTCCTACATTCCCTTGATGTCCTAGATGCAACACCCTGGTATGGCCTGTTTTCCATGATTATTCTACCCATCAACTCAGTCATAAACCCACTAATCTATGATGACACTGTAACAAACCTTATTAGCGTACCTATCCAAAGACTCGGAACCCTAATCGCTGGTTCAAGAATTTACCGAGAGTTAAGTCTAAGATTTCAACGATTATCAACAGTTAACACCATTGAGCTAGATTGTGTAACAGTGCAAGACGGAGAACTTCCAGGCACAGCAGAGATGACTGGAGAACGAGACAACGAACAAATGATTACCCAACTCTGAGACGAACAAGGGAGCAATGACGAGAGAGACAAAGCTGAACAACAATGACTAAGTTAGATGATTTATCTCGTAAGATCAGAAATCATCGACTTTAATCTAATATGCTGCATTTAAGCAGATGGGAGTTGAAAGAAGCAGACAAAATTATTTAGGAGAGTCAATTAAACAGGACTACGTTCAAAGTGATGATTATCATATGTAAATTGAATGGAAGAGTGGATTGCTTTTAAGGCCCACCCAAACTTTTAATGCGATTTGGGCGTGCTTATACCTTAAAAAGCCAAGACCAGCACTGTAAATAGAAAATAGAGTACTTACAAAGGTATTTTATGATCATTTCATGATAATATAGACAAAAGGTCGAATGAATTGGGGTTCTTTTCATGCGTATAAAGTATATTTGAGGCTGATATTATATTGTTATGATCTCAATTCGATTACTTATCTTTACAAACACTTACTTATAATGAGTGATGATTATCCCATTAAATTATAAGTGGTTAAGGTAATAACTTATTCAAATTATCACAAAAATTCCCACAATTTCTTTTATAACTTTTTGGAAATCCATTGATCGAAAGGCTCATTTTGAATAAGGTATTACTAGACACTACTATCGTTATTATTTTTGCTGATTATATCGTACACTGTTATATTTTAAAGATACTTTTAAAAGAGGCTAATAATTATAAAACCAAATTCAAAAGAAGAAAAAAAGGGAAAACAAAAAAGGAGAAAAAAAACTCATCGTCTGAAATAACGGACAATATATGAATCTGAATTAAAGTATTGATTATAATGCTATGTTATTTTAAAATAATTAGAACATTTATTGAATTATTGAATTATGCTGATATTTTAGTATTTAGAACATTAATCAAAGATACGACTTTTAAGTGTTTTGATAATAATTCTAGAATGGCCGTGGTCAAAAGGAGAAAACTAATAGTATTCTTTGAAAGTCACTTTTAAAAAATTAAATACGGTATTACTAGATACAAATAATTTGAGGACAACATGACACTACAAAGCATTGATCATAACATATGGACAGAACTGAACAAGAACACAAACTAATTCAAAGACTGAGGAAACAGGAGGACTCTGCAACCCAGGAATCAACAACTCATTCGCTCAATAATTGGTTTGGTATCGACGTTACATACTATGTTTTCCCCGACTTATAAAAAAAATTATTAATCTATATTTAATATATAAATATATTTTAAACCTCTTTTAAACCATTCCAGTACATTGTGCATAAAATTGAAGATTTAAAATTTAGGAAACATGTGCAAGGATGAAGGATATAACCGATCTGATATTCATCGTAAATAATAAAATACTCTAGCACAATTATTGTAACTGCAGTTTTGCAGAACTCCAAATGCTTAATGAACACTTTTGCAGGTACCACCCGTATTCACACTCAAAATGGAGTTTCGTCAGTTTCCGATACGAGACTGGGACGGGTTCTATAAACAAACAAACAACAAACAGTATACCTTATCTACGGTAGATATTATGTACTTGGACAGAGTGTAAAACGTGTGTACATCACCGTTTCATGTAATATATAATACCAATTAATTTAGCATTTTAACTAGAATGAACCATTTATAATTGTATACTAACGTTTATACCAATTTTAGCCTGAAGATGGCGTTGACACCGAAAATTTGCCTACATTCTTAACTTCCTGTTTCATTTGTCCTTATCTCTTCCAACCGGATATTATCCAACTATCAATACACACACGTGTTCAGGTAAGCAGTGAGAATTTTAAAGGATTAAATTTCAGCATTTCTTCAAAACGATAATTAAAGGAGGTAATTTTCTCCGAATATCAAATTTCCTTCCATTCTCAGTGTCACATACCTACAGTTATGTATAAAATGATGTCGAATGGAATATGTGTAATACATGTTGAGCAGAGTAATGGTCACTAGTTAGATAAATTATAAATGTAATGATTAATATGTCGGAAACAATTTGAACCCTTTGAGAGAATACACAAACATAAAACTCATCTACAAAGAACACAATGATGTGGTACTTATAAAGTAAGAGTATTTTAACAGTCACAGAGATAAGTCCGCCGGAGGTATTATTCACATGACAATGTATTATGTAAGCTAGGTAAAAGGTATGTTAATCTGATACTTGGTTAAAATCTAATCGTTATAGGGAGATATCATACACCCGCTGCAACCACCAATAATAACTAGAATACCAAAACTAGTTATCAATATCGTGAATATATATCGTGACCTCGTGAGGGGTAAAAGAAGTAAGGTATAACCTGCTCATGCTCATAGAAGCGACGTTATTCCAAGAGTTCGAATAAGGGTCATACATCTCAACTGTAGACAAGTGGGATAGCCCGTCAAACCCGCCTGGGAGTTAAAATTAATTGGTTAATTAGCAAATATTAAACCAAATTATTTTTGATTAGCTATGTATCAGTAAATTTGATATTTTTAGATTTAATCTACTTTGATTAAATTATTTTTGATTAGCTTTATATTTTTGATAAGCTTTGTATCAGTAAATTTGATATTTTTAGATTTAATCTACTTTGATTAAATTATTTTTGATTAGCTTTATATTTTTGATAAGCTTTGTATCAGTAAATTTGATATTTTTAGATTTAATCTATGTTGATTAAATTTAATCAATTGTGTTCTTAATGCAATAGTAAAATTATTTATGATTTATGGAGGGCTAGAAGTAGAATTCAAATTTTAAAACAAGGTTGATTAAGGATGAGGCGAAATTTAGGATTGGGGATAGCCTTCAAATAACCGGTGCATATAATAATGGCCTGCCCCCACCTGCATACTGCATCAGATAGAGTAAAAAAGGGCACATACCAACAGCGTAGATCTTTTTATCGAGGGAAGCAGCTCCGAGTGCAAATCTGCAGGTTTGGAGTGTAGCAATGGGCTCCCAACTGTTGGTATTGTCGTGGTACACCTCACACTGACTCAATAATTTAGTGCCTGTGGGATTAGTTAGAGTAAAGGATGTAAGAAGAGATATAAGAAGAGATATTCAGTAAGAATGCTGATGATCATGAAGACATGAAAAAGAATGCAGCTTAAAAGCATCATTACTGACTTGTCGAATTCAATATTCATACTCAACGTCAGCTAACGTAGTCCACAAATTCATATTGCATAAAATTTACTGAACTAGTTTATATGTTTTCGAACTTAACGCTAACAGTAACAGTACAATGGCTATTCATATTCAGCAGATAATTACTGTAAGAGAATGATACATCGTCATCAACTAGCTGACTCTAAAAGGCAATCGGAATTTTAAAGCTCTAACTCAATTATTTCATGAGACGCAGGTTAAAGCCACACATCAAAATTCTAAACCTCATCTCTCTAAACATCATCTCTCTAAACCTCATCTCTCAACCTCATCTCTCTAAACCTCATCTTTCTAAACCTCATCTCTCCAAACCTCATCTTTCTAAACCTCATCTCTCTAAACCTCATCTCTCTAAACCTCATCTCTCTAAACCTCATCTCTCTCAACCTCATCTCTCTCAACCTCATCTCTCTAAACCTCATCTCTCTAAACCTCATCTCTCTAAACCTCATCTCTCTAAACCTCATCTCTCTAAACCTCATATCTCTAAGCATCATCTCTCTAAACCTCATCACTCTAAACATCATCTCTCTAAACCTCATCTCTAAACCTCATCTCTAAACCTCATCTCTCTCAACCTCATCTCTCTCAACCTCATCTCTCTAAACCTCATCTCTCTAAACCTCATCTCTCTAAACCTCATCTCTCTAAACATCATCTCTCTAAACCTCATATCTCTAAGCATCATCTCTCTAAACCTCATCACTCTAAACATCATCTCTCTAAACCTCATCTCTAAACCTCATCTCTAAACCTCATCTCTCTCAACCTCATCTCTCTAAACCTCATCTCTCTAAACCTCATCTCTCTAAACCTCGTCCCCCCTCACTACTACTCACCATCATAACCCCCGACAGCGTATATCTTATCGTTAAGATTAGTAACCCCAGCTCCCCTTCTAGCTGAGATCATCCTCCCCATACTACTCCACGTGTTGGTGGACTGGTTGTAGCATTCTACTGTGTCAATTCTAAACCTCATCTCTCTAAACCTCATCTCTCTAAACCTCATCTCTCTAAACCTCGTCCCCCCTCACTACTACTCACCATCATAACCCCCGACAGCGTATATCTTATCGTTAAGATTAGTAACCCCAGCTCCCCTTCTAGCTGAGATCATCCTCCCCATACTACTCCACGTGTTGGTGGACTGGTTGTAGCATTCTACTGTGTCAATTCTAAACCTCGACTATCTAAACCTCATCTCTCTAAACCTAATCTCTCTAAACCTCGTCCCCCCTCACTACTACTCACCATCATAACCCCCGACAGCGTATATCTTATCGTTAAGATTAGTAACCCCAGCTCCCCTTCTAGCTGAGATCATCCTCCCCATACTACTCCACGTGTTGGTGGACTGGTTGTAGCATTCTACTGTGTCAATCTCTCTAAACCTCATCTCTCTAAACCTCATCTCTCTAAACCTCATCTCTCTAAACCTCGTCCCCCCTCACTACTACTCACCATCATAACTCCCGACAGCGTATATCTTATCGTTAAGATTAGTAACCCCAGCTCCCCTTCTAGCTGAGATCATCCTCCCCATACTACTCCACGTGTTGGTGGACTGGTTGTAGCATTCTACTGTGTCAATTCTAAACCTCATCTCTCTAAACCTCATCTCTCTAAACCTCATCTCTCTAAACATCATCTCTCTAAACCTCATCTCTCCTCACTACTACTCACCATCATAACCCCCGACAGCGTATATCTTATCATTAAGATTAGTAACCCCAGCTCCCCTTCTAGCTGAGATCATCCTCCCCATACTACTCCACGTGTTGGTGGACTGGTTGTAGCACTCTACCGTGTCAATTCTAAACCTCATCTCTCTAAACCTCATCTCTCCAAACATCATCTCTCTAAACCTCGTCCCCCCTCACTACTACTCACCATCATAACCCCCGACAGCGTATATCTTATCGTTAAGATTAGTAACCCCAGCTCCCCTTCTAGCTGAGATCATCCTCCCCATACTACTCCACGTGTTGGTGGACTGGTTGTAGCATTCTACTGTGTCAATTCTAAACCTCGTCCCTCTAAACCTCATCTCTCTAAACCTCATCTCTCTAAACCTCGTCCCCCCTCACTACTACTCACCATCATAACCCCCGACAGCGTATATCTTATCGTTAAGATTAGTAACCCCAGCTCCCCTTCTAGCTGAGATCATCCTCCCCATACTACTCCACGTGTTGGTGGACTGGTTGTAGCACTCTACTGTGTCAATTCTAAACCTCGACTCTCTAAACCTCATCTCTTTAAACCTCATCTCTCTAAACATCATCTCTCTAAACCTCATCTCTCTAAACCTCATCTCTCTAAACCTCGTCCCCCCTCACTACTACTCACCATCATAACCCCCGACAGCGTATATCTTATCGTTAAGATTAGTAACCCCAGCTCCCCTTCTAGCTGATATCATTCTCCCCATACTACTCCACGTGTTGGTGGACTGGTTGTAGCATTCTACTGTGTCAATTCTAAACCTCGACTATCTAAACCTCATCTCTCTAAACCTCATCTCTCTAAACATCATCTCTCTAAACCTCATCTCTCTAAACCTCATCTCTCTAAACCTCGTCCCCCCTCACTACTACTCACCATCATAACCCCCGACAGCGTATATCTTATCGTTAAGATTAGTAACCCCAGCTCCCCTTCTAGCTGAGATCATCCTCCCCATACTACTCCACGTGTTGGTGGACTGGTTGTAGCACTCTACTGTGTCAATTCTAAACCTCGACTCTCTAAACCTCATCTCTTTAAACCTCATCTCTCTAAACATCATCTCTCTAAACCTCATCTCTCTAAACCTCATCTCTCTAAACCTCGTCCCCCCTCACTACTACTCACCATCATAACCCCCGACAGCGTATATCTTATCGTTAAGATTAGTAACCCCAGCTCCCCTTCTAGCTGAGATCATTCTCCCCATACTACTCCACGTGTTGGTGGACTGGTTGTAGCACTCTACTGTGTCAATTGGGGAGATACCGTCAAACCCTCCTACCTGAAACACGATATATGTCAAAATAAATAATAAATATGTTAAATATAATATATTATATTAAATAATATATTATATTAAATATGTTAAATATATCAAATAAGTTAAATTTATAGTACGCTATTAGATGCGCAATGGAAGCCACAGTAGGCAATTGAATATGAGTGACACCGCGGATACTTGAGGCTATTAGTTGAGTTGCTTTCAAATGTGTGTTAATTAATTTAACCTTATTTGGTTTTTTTATAAATTTTATGAGACCCGTGTTTGGTTTAAACGTTCTGTTCCGATGGAAGAGAGAGGTTTTTAGGAGAACCACTGATCAGACATGGGCACCGTATTGTGTACATTATTCAGTTATATATAACTTATATATACCTTATACAATATTTTTGCCGCATAGGAGTGGGGTAGCAAATGTTTCGTAATTCTACAGAGTCGTCTTTTAAACATTAAATTGATTCCTTTTTATTTTGTTATGCGAGTCGATTTATAGTGTCCTGATTTACCGTGCCCTATTTCCCGGGAAATTCTCACTTTCTCCTTTTTATAATTTTATAATTTTAGTATGAAAAAACCCCAAAAGTTAACCAATTAAACTGTCCAAATTCCCATAGTCGGGGTTTGACTCAACTCTCAAGAAACCGCCTTAAATTTTAATAAGGAGAATAATATTATGTTTCATAGTCATTTTGGTAGTTGCAGTTCCAAATCAAAAGTTTTACTTGGAACTGAGAGACAACATAATCTCATTACAAGCAGCTGCCCAGTAATGTAGTAAATTATCTTGGATTCCAAGACAATTACTCATCAATAATAGATATTAAGTGGTTTTATGATAACATTATAATATATTCCAGGAATTATGAAAGATTGATGCATAACTGTCTCATTACTACACAATATATTATGTCTGTTGTATTAATTATCTATATTATGTTCCTGGTATTCTGTAAACCCTTATAGATTTTAATTAGCATTATTTTAATTAAATCTGTAAAGTCTCTGGACTTAGCTTCGGTCTCCGGATATCAAAGCATACCATTAAATTTCTTTGTAATCAATAATCAATCAGTTCTATTTTTAGTACTAAGATAGCTGGAACCTCGAATCACGATTAGGTTATTTTGGGAATTAAAGTTATAATCAAACGATTTACTTTACTTTATAGTTATTTCCTTTTCTTTGCAGTATTTCAATATTGATTGTAGAGTTTTAACTAATAATGCTATTTCTGAAAATTCTGATATATTTGGTATATTGAGTAAATGTGCCGTCCAGGTGGTTGGTAAAGTGCCCCCGGGGAAGCCTCATCAGTACAGCGACGATCCAACTGTCGTTAAACTTTCAGCAGAGAGAAAGTCCCTTCAGCAAGAATGTAGTCTCACAGGGATAAGCGACAGGAGTGACCTCAGAAAAAGAATCAACCATCTCAAACGTACCATCAAAAAGAGGTTGAAATCCATCAACGAGGCCACTGCTAATGCCCTAGTAGATGTCATCAACAACACCGACAGCTGCAGAAGCATGTTTGAAGCGAATAGAACTTTGGCCCAGTGTAGGATGAAGAAAGACGGAGTGACTGTCCACGATGCAGACGGGAACACCTTAGGTTCTGACTCATTAAAAGCAGAAGCTATTAAAGAATACTTTAATAATGAGTTCAATGACAAAGATGAACCCCGCCTCCCAGCATTCATAGACCCTCCTGGAAGCCTCCTCTGTCCCATAACACCTGAAGAAGTTGGCCGTGCTGTTATGAAGCTGAAATCCGGTAGAGCGTGTGGCCCTGACGGTATACCTAATGAGCTAATGAAAGCTGCTGGATATCCCCTCCACTGTGAGTTGGCTAGGATCTATAATCTCTCCTTTGAGACCAACACATACATCCCAGCCATTGGAGAAGGCATCCTGACACCCCTTCAGAAGCCAGGAAAACCCAGAGGTCCGATAAAGTCTATCCGGCCCCTCACATTGCTAAATGGAACTAGAAAAGTCCTATCCCTCGTAGCCTTGAACAGAATCAATTACCACGTTGATATGTACACTGGACCTTGGCAGGCGGCATACAAGCAGGGTCGCAGTTGTGCTGACCTGGTATGGTCTCAGAGAATGTTGACATCAGTGGTTACCAGGCGCGAGTTTGAGTATAGTAAAATCAACATTGACATGACCGCTGCGTTTAATACTATCCGCAGACAGACCATCATCAACCTCCTCATTGATGCAGGATGCTCTAGAGACGACATTCGCCTAGTTCAGTACCTCCTCTCAAATACAAAGCTCAAGGTGACGGTCAACAGATCTGAGTCTGGTGAATTTGTGATTAATATTGGCGCTTACCAGGGAGACAGTCTGGCAGGTAAAGTGTTTACATTGACCCTTGCCGGTGCCCTGAATCACATCAGAGCCGTGATCAGTGTCACGATTCCTAGACCAAACCCCCCAGTCTCTGATAGAGGCCTCCCGTTAGAGTCCGCCTATGCTGACGATGCTGAGCTTCTGAGTGAAGATGGTCAGAGCCTGGTGAAGATACTAGAGATTGCCAGTGATATACTAAAGGATTGGAGTCTCTTTGTTAACGAATCAAAGACGGTGTTTACAAGAGTGTATTTGGCAGATACAGATGCTTTAGATGCCCATGGCAATAAAATTAGAGGAGATGAAGAGTGGCGAGAGTCAGTGCTATTAGGATCAAAGCTCTGCTCAGAAAGAGATATTGTCAACAGACGCAACAAAGCCAATGTTGCCTTCTACACCTACAAGAAAGTCTGGTTGAATAGTTCTGTTCAGATCAGTGAGAGTAGAAAGCTGAAGCTGTACGAAGCTCTTGTCACTTCAGTGTTGTTGTATAACTGTAGCAGCTGGGCTGCTCCTGAAACCGTAATGGCATCTGTCGACGTTCTTCAAAGGAAGCATCTGAGACAGATAATCAACACCTATTGGCCTACGGTTATCAGTAACGAGAATTTATATAAGAGATGTAATGTCAGACCCCTTAC